TTTTCAGTTTTCTATTTTTTTTTTTTTTTTTTTGAGATGGAGTCTTGCTCTTTTGCCAAGGCTGGAGTGCAATGGTGTCATCTTGGCTCACTGCAATCTCCGCCTTCTGGGTTCAAGTGATTCTCCTGCCTCAGTTCCCCGAGTGGCTGGGATTACAGGCGTGTGCCACCATGCCTGGCTAATTTTTATTTTTGGTAGAGATGGGGTTTCACCATATTGGCCAGGTTGGTCTCGAACTCCTGACCTCAGATGATCCACCCGCCTCGGTCTCCCAAAGTGCTGGGATTACAGGTGTGAGCCACGAAGCCCGGCCAAGAAAATGTTTATAACACATTTTTATGCCTTCCTCATGGTTCCCAAAAAGAATCCGGTTGACTAACCCCCTACTTCCAAGGATTACCCACATCCCTTCCCACTGTAGATGAAAACCACTTTTGCACTGACTTACCTCTTGTCTCAGTCTCTCATACATGACAGACAGATGTTCCTCCATACTAGGATCTCCTGATGGGGTGGTGGGGGAAGGGTGGGCAGTTCCAGGGGCTTGGAAAGGCATCAAAGCCCCAGGATAGGGGCAGGGAGGTCCCTCAAAAAGGCTTCTAAGCCCATCCAGGCAGCCGCTATGCAACTCAGGTTCTGGTCCCTCCTCCCCATTTCTTGGAGGGAGAGCCACCCATGCTGAGTTGAGGGCCTGGATCTGAAGGAGAGGTACTGGGGGAGCCTGGGGAAGACGCTGGGTGGGAGGCCGTGGGGGCAGGGGAGACCACAGTAGAGGATAAGATGGGGAAGTGGTTGTTGTGGAGGGGGGCCAAAGGGGTGGGAATGGTAGACTCCCTGGAGAAAGCTGGTCCTAAGGAGACAACAAAAGGTAAAAAGGTAAGAATCCACTTGCCTAACACCCCTTCATCCCTTGGATGCTCAACAGGCTTCCAATACCTATATTTTCCTGACAGAATGGATGGAATTACTATAAAAAAAGGGATGGATTCATCTCCATCCGCACTGAAAACAAGAGGAAACCATTTTATGTGACACAAGTACAAGTACCGGTACCTCCCAAAAATACTAGCAAACATCTTTATTTTTTTGAGACGAAGTCTTGGTGTCCCCCAGGCTGGTGTGCAATAGCCTAATCACAGCTCACTGCAACCTCCACCTCCCGGATTCAAGTGATTCTCCTGCCCTAGCCTCCCAAGTAGCTGGGATTACAGGCACCCGCCACCACGCCCGGCTAATTTTTGTAATTTTAGTAGAGACGAGGTTTCACCTTGTTGGCCAGACTGGTCTAGAACTCCTGACCTCAGGTGATCCATCCGCCTCGGCCTCCCAAAGTGCTGGGACTACAGGCGTGAGCCACCGCGCCCGGCCACATTCCTTGAAGATTCCAACAATAGGGGCAGTTCACCTCTCTTACTGCAAGAATCATGTAATACATACTTGATGAGTGAACCAATAACAGATTTTATTGTACTGTGGATGAAATGCTGTGGCCTGTACCTCTCCACGCTTAAGTGTGCGAGGCAAATGTACAGAGAAAAGAACATCCAGCTGAAGCTAGGAATCTAAATTCTAATTCTACCCTGTAACTTTAGGTACTCTCATTCCCTATGCCTCCGCTTCCTACAGATGTCCTATAAATGAGGACAATAAAGCCTCACTGAGTTATGAGGCCTATATGAGATAATGACAGCCCCTCTAATGACAGCCAAACCTTAGGAGACAGTTATAGGCTGGCCTTCATTCTCCTGGGTTTACCGAGGAGAAACCGCGAGGGGAGGTCACCCAAAGTCAGGCCTGACCCCAGTCCCTCCACTCCCAAGGAACCCCCCGGGGGACTGTCTCACTCCAGGGAAGGCGGGACGACCGCTCGGGTACCTCGGTCCCCGACGGTGTCCCAGAGGCGCCGTCTCTGCTGGGGGCGTGGCCATCTTGCCAGCCCCGGGGCACGGGCCCGAACCGGGTGCACACTGGCCGGCCTTCCTGCCAGGACCGCTCTCCGGGTGCAAGATGCGCGGGCTGCTGTGGGTGCCCCGCGGGTCTGCTCTGGGCCGCGGATTTCCGGGGCGGCGCCGCGGCCGGGCTGCGAATCTCTCCGCCCCTGCCCTTCAAATCACCTCCAGGCACAGGTAACCGAGGACAATCGGGCGCAACGCACCCCGCTGCCCAGCTTGACCCCGCCTGTGAGCCCTCAGCCCTGGGGGCACCGACGTCCCTGCGCTCCAGGCCCTGCAGCGCCGCCTTGCCGCCCTAACGACCCCTAGCCAGTCCACGCGCCGCGGGGCACAGGTGGGAAGGGGCGGTGGGTGTCACTGCGCCTGCGCGGAAACCGGTGCGCGCTCCGCCCCGCGCACCGGTTCTGAGGAGGGTCTCTCCCCGCCCCCTCTCCTCTCTCCCGCTGTTCAGCTCTCACCTGGGGTCGAGCCTGGTAGGCGCGGAGGCAGGGGCCGAGACGCCGAGCCGCACCCCGGCTGGGTTGGTACATGATCTTCCGGGAGTGGAGGAGCCTCCTGAGTCCGACCTCCGGCCTCCTCACAGGGGTGAGCGCGCCCCGGAGCCGGCTTCGTGAAGGGGAAAGGAGGGGGGGGAAGGGGCTGAGGGAGGGAAACGGAGATGTCGCGCGCTTGCGCACCGCAGGCTTAAGCGAAGCGGCTGTAGCGCTCTATTGGCAGTAAGTGCGCTTGCGCTCGCGGGCTCGGAGACTGCCTGAATGCGCTTGCGTAAATTAGCAGCCCAAGCGCCGTATTCACAGCTGAGGCATTTGCGCAAAAAGCTAAGCAAAAACAGCGCCGAACCGGGGGCAACGACAGTGAGGGGTGAGGCGGCTGAAATAATAAGTTTTTCAACAGCTCTTGTGATAAAAATAAATACTTTTATTGCTCTGGTTAAAAGAAAGATACAAATGACTTGAAGCTGATAAGCCCGCTGAATGAATGAATGTATCCATCTATTATGAGGGTTGGGCTTTGGCTCTTCCTGTAGTGAGGGAGAAATAATACTGTGAAGATGTGACACGGGGCTGCGGTCACCAAGGCCTGGTGCTGCGTCGTTCCTGCAGGTTTCGAATGAACCTGGCGTTGAATATGTCCCCACCCATTGTCCAGGACTGGGCTGGTGGGGCCGGGGCCGTGGCCTGTGGAGGAGCTGGGTGCACAGGCTTCTCCCCAGATCCATCCTGCGACAAGGCCTGCTCCTCACTGGCAGACCTGGTAGGTGCGGAGATGGAGAGTGGGTTACAGGACTACTAAAGAGGAAATTAAGATTACAGACTCTTCAAGGTCTCGGGCCAGGTTTTAATGTAGGACACATGATGGGTATGATGCTGGAACCATTAGTGCTATGTCCAAATTCAAAACCTCTCAGAGAACCTTTATTCCAAAGGGAAGTACAGAGTTGAACCTGTAGGGAAAGGAGCTTGGAGGATGTAAGGTAGAAGGAATTGTGGGAGGAGCTAGTTTTGAGTTCATACAGTAAGATTTAGGAGCAGGAAGTGGTTGAGAGTGATGTTAGGAAGGGAGTCAGATGGTGGTGGAAGGCTGTTAGGGTAGGGGTTTAGACCTCACCTATTCTTTATTTCCTGTTCTCCCTGCTTGGAGTCTTGGTTGCCTGTGGAAACATCAGGCATATGAATGGGAAGGCAGGAGTAGATAGTGAATGTGGCCTACTTGATTTGAGGGTAAGGAGAAGTTAATACTTACCTGTATTAGGGGATGAGGAAGTCACCCCCCCATGGCGGCTGTAGCAGCAGCTTTGGGCTACCAGCCCTGGGGGAGTCCCCCTGTAGAAGAAATGGGAGATGATGGGGAGGAGACTATGGATGAAAGATGGGTGGGTATGGAGGAATCAGAGGAGAGAAGTAAAAGGAATACCACAGGAACAAAGAGAAGGGGGTAATTATCACTCCTAAGGGGTTTTAATAAAAGCTGTGCCCCAGAAAAGGGTGGGGGAAGTTCATTTTATACCCAGGATTTTCTGAAGCACCTCTAATTTATTGCTGTGTTCTTTCTAGTTGAGGTAATGTGTTAAATCTATGGCTAGATGTGATCCAAATCATGTCATTAAAACAGACTTCACATGTAGTAAAAAATTTGTTGGATCAGGTACTCTGGTGTTTGGTTTGGAAAACAGGGTTACCTTAAGTATAAGATTCCTTAGACCAGGCCGGGTGTGGTGGCTCATGCCTGTAATCCCAGCACTTTAGAAGGCCGAGGTGGGCAGATCCCAAGATTAGGAGATCGAGCCTGGCCAACATGGTGAAACCCCATCTCTACTAAAAATACAAAAATTAGCTGGATGCAGTGGTACACTCCTGTAATCCCAGCTACTCGGAGGCTGAGGCAGGAGGATTTCTTGAACCAGGGAGGCAGAGGTTGCAGTGAGCCAAGATCATGCCACTGCACTCCAGCTTGGCGACAGAATGAGTGAGACGCTGTCTCAAAAACAAAAAACTAAAAAAGATTCGTTAGACCAGAGGGAAACAGGATGTGACAAGGCTGAATTTTGAATTTCGGAGGAAAAGGAAGGGGGCCTCTGTAAATAGGGTGACAGATTGTATTGGACTCTCCACAGAAGTAAGGGTTTGTCTTGAGAGAGATCCAGGGGTTTAGTGGAGCAGACATCAGGTAATCAGAGTGGGAAAAGGAATACAGGAGGCAGGAGGTAATTAGTGGATACAGAGGTGATGGTAAGCCTTGACATCTCAACAACGGCTGGCCCAGAGTAAAGGGTAGAAGTCACTGGGGAGAACCGGAGGTTCCTGGAAGGAATGAGGGAGTAGTGGAAGCCCACGCACAAGGATTCAGGACCTACATGAGAGGAGACACGGAATCTGCAGAAGGACTAACAGTGAAGATGGGGATAGGCAGACACAGATACAGGAGCTTTGATGCTCCTGGGTAAAAGATATGCAGATCTCAGAAATGAAGAAATGAGAGGGACGGAGGTCCTGAGATCCCAGGAAAATAAAGGGTGACGCACAAATGAGGCTGACAAGCTTTTTTTTGTGTGATTCATTTTTTTCATTGAAAATGTCAATTTAGAAAACACAAAAGAATTCATATTTTATTGAGATGACACTGAGAGGGAGAAGAAAAGGGAAGAGTGAGTAGGGGAGGGGAGGAGATCCGGCTCCCAAGGATTTCAGGAAACACAGTGGGCCCCTGATCTAGCATACATTCAGAGGGTAGGGAGGGGAAAGGATCTAGCTATATCGCGGGCATGGCACAGGGAAGGTCGTCCTTGCTATGGAGGAAAGGAGAGAGGAAGGACAGAGAAAGAATGGTCCCCTATCTGACCTTGACAATCTCACAAGATGGGAATATATCAGCATCTAGCTACCAGGGAGGGATGGATGCAAGAGGGGATTCCAGGATCTAACAGATCCTTGAGACTCTGGATCTATTCTCAAGAAACAAGCTCCCTCAGAGAATGGATCTAGGGGAAAAGGTGGTGTCAGCCAGTCTCCTTTAGAAACCCCAAAGCAACATCAGTTTGGGGTTCCCTGACACCTACACAAAATATGGAAATGAAGAGTTTGGCAATGTTGAGTAGATCCCTTTGGGGAGCTGGTAAGTCCCTGTCCTACTTAACTAGACTGCTCTGAAGCAGAGCTTGCTCACTGGCAGCCGTTCCCAGGCTCAAAGGGCACGTAGTAGAGCCACCAGTAGACCCTAGAGGGAATATGGGGTTTATCCCATGGATAAGACTCCTTAAAAAGTTTCCCTGGCAGAGGACACCTAGACCTTCCATGGTGTTCTAGGGTTTGACAGCAAGCAAGAATGTGCTTCTCTAAATGTATGAGCCACCCAACCAAGGGGTCTGACAACAGATCAGGCTGTCTGTGGGGAAGGTATTTAGAGCCCAAGTTAGGAGAGAAGGGGTGCTTTTGGGGTAAGAAAAGCTACAAAGTGTTAGGCCATTTGAGTCCCTGACAACCCTAATGTCTAAGAAAGTAGAAGAGGGAATCTTAGGGGCTCTGTCAGGTTCCACTGGGTCCTACAGGATGCAATGGAAGAGTGGGTCTAGGGTTCTCAGGGAGGGTGTCTCTGCCCACCCCAGGTCTCCCAGGGAGGGGAGAGGGTAGCTGTCTGTCAGTATCGACTGTCCTCAGAGCGGGGAAGGGAGCTGTGGAAGGATGTTATGGACGGGAGGAAGGGAGAGGGGAGATGGGGGGGAGAGAAAAACAGATAAGTCAGAAGTGAAGAGAAAACTAGGGAGAGAAATAAAGGAAATGCCCACTCCCTGCCTGCTGGGTGGACTCTTGGCACACAGGACAGTGGCTGCCCCTTCCCCAGCAAGAGTTAAGCCAAGATCTCCCCAAACTTAGAAGGCTCCATTCCCCCAACTCGATGGATCCGTATTCTTCCTACTGTTCCACAGAACTCTCACATTAAAGCCACGGTCCCTAGACTTCATATAAAATCCTGTTCTTCTCTTTCACTGTATTTTTTTCCCCAGATCACTTGCACTTGTATTTTTCTTGAAAGGTTCCAGAACTCCCCAATCCACCCATCTTATTGATCCATCTCTCTGATGGATTCAAATTGCCCTTTGTCGTTTCTAACATCCTCTTTGATAGCTGTGAGGCTCCTTAGCCCTCCAACTCCTATTACCTGGTGCGACGACGTTGGGCTGGGCTGCCCCCAGGGTCAGCAGCCAGCAGAAGGCGGGCAGTAGGGTGTGGGGGGCAGAGGCGCAAGGAACGCAGCAGCTCCTGCTCTGGCACAAAGGGGCGGAGGGGACCTCGTTCTGGTGAGTTTCCCAGGCTGCTGGAACGGGGGGGTGGGTGGGCTGGAGGTGTGGAACGGCGAGGGGCCCTGTTTAGGGGCCAAGGAGGCTCCACAGCCACCTTCAGAACTGGGGACAGGGAGAATGAAGAGCAAGACAGAAAAAGAAGAAAAAAAGAGAGGGAAGGAAGAGATAAGAGTCATGACAGCAAAGATTTGGGTAGAAAAAAAGAATCTGAGTCTTTTTCTTTTTTGAGACAGAGTCTTGCTCTGTCACCTGAGCTGCAGTGCAGTGGTGTGATCTTGGTTCACTGCAACTTCCATCTCTCGGGTTCAAGCCATTCTCCTGCGTCAACCTCCCGAGTAGCTTGGATTACAGACACGTGCCACCGCGTCCAGTTAATTTTTGTATTTTTCGCAGAGACAAGGTTTCACCATGTTGGCCAGGCTTGTCTCAAACTCCTGGACTCAGGGATCTACCCGCCTCAGCCTCCCAAAGTGCTGGGATTACAAGGCATGAGCCACCGTGCCCGGCCCAAGAAATTTGAGTCTTTAGAGAATGAATCCTCCCCCTGGGTCCCCTGAGCACTCTCTTCCCTTGTGTTAAGGTCCCCCAGGCCCAGACACCCAACCCTTGCCCCTCTTACATTCTCGGTCACTGGAGGAGTATGGCTTGATGTCTCCCTCTGCTCTCTTGGGTGGCAGCTTCCTTGCTGGAGCTGGTAGTGGAGGGGACACAGGCAGGGTAAGTGTTAGGAGACATACTTTGTACCCCTCCTCCCAGTCACTAGCCCACAACCCCAAACCTTTGCTCCCTGACACCGCAGTTCCTCCTGGGAACTTGCAGGAGCAGCACCATGGCAATGCCAGCACACCAAAAGGGAATTTGCGGGGAAGGTGGAACACTTCTGAGGAGAGCCAGAAGGAGTAGGCCAAACACAGAGCTAGGGAGAAAGATCTAAGGGGAGACCTGGGGGCCTGGGAGATGCAGGAGAAGGGCAGCCAAGGGGAGCGAGCTCTTACTGTCAGTGGGTGCTGTCACGGCCCCCTGGGATTCTGGGGCAATGGAATGGTCCCAGCCGGGCCAACGAGGACCCTGGGTTCCTCTGGATGAGATGGACAAAGCCCTTGGTTAATCAGGAATTGCTCTGGAGAGGTCAGGGGAGGTTTGGAAGGAGGGCAGAATCTCTCCTTCCTATACAAAGATGGGAAGAGACTGAAGTTTTATTAGGTTAAAAAATAAAAAGGATGAGGAGAAAATAAATAGGGGCATCTGAAAAGGAGCTATCAAAGTAAAGGGCAGGCTGATGTAATGTCCACAGTTCAGCCTCCTCCTCTGCACTTGTCTGCTTGCTCCCCACTTTCCCTCTCTAGATTCTCCATCATGTGTGGCAAATGAAAGACTTCTCAGCGAATTCGCTTAGGCTTCATCCACAGCACCCTCCCGTGAAGGCCTGAGTCCTCACCATCCTTGTTGGCCCTCACTCCCTCTCACAGCCTGTGGTTCAGCACGAGCTAAGTGGGAGAAGCCTTGGAAACCAAAGTGAGTCATGGACATGAGGTGCCTCTCAGTGCCTGACACTGCGATGCTCATAGCTGGTTCCAAACTGCTCTTTGGATGGTGATTACTCCCTTTCCTGGCCACAGAGCCAGCTCAGGAAGGGGGCTCTTCTGTGCAAACAAGCATTGTACAGCCGTTAGAAGTTGATAAGGTGGAGGGGTGAGAAAGAGGAAGGGGTATGGCTCAGACTGGCAGTAAGAGAGAGAGAGAGTGTGTGAGTGTGTGTGTGTGTGTGACAGAGAGAGAGATGGGGAATCTGGACAGCATTTTAGTGCCTCTGAGGTTTGGTTTCTCCAGATCAATTTCATTATCGGGTTGGAAACATAAATTCTGAGTGTTATCTTCTAAAACTAACATTTAAACTTTGGGCCATTTGTGTCACTATTCTGTGACTTCGAATTGACGGGCTGTTTGCACCAGCCTTTCCCTCACTGGCTGACAGAAGCCTGGGGTTTACAAAGGAGCCTGACTCTGGCCTGTGTTGCTGGATCTGAACTAGCAAGAGGGTCCATTGACATCAGTTGTCAAACAGGCTCCCAATGAACTTGCTTGGTTAAAAATCTTAGCAAGTACAAAATGCACTGAGCTCCCATGAGGGCAAAGGCCAACAGGCATGACTGCAGGAGACTTGGGTTGCTTTAGAATTTCCTAAAACTGCCCACAGATAGCACTGTACTCCACGGCGTCTAGAGTAAGTAGCCATCACTGCACTACAGTTCCACCCCTTCAATACAGGCTTTACCAGCGGGCGTGGGATCAACTGCAGCAGCACGAGAGTGTCGAGTTGCCCTCAGAGAGGGAGCAGGGGGCCCTGTGAGGAAGGAAGCAGCAGTGCCCCTCAGAGAGGGGCCAGCAGGACCAAGAGTCCATCTCTTTCCTTTCCTTTACCCCGACTACATGACCAACACAAAGCGAGAAAACTTACGATGTTGATGGGCAAAGAAGCCTTCAAAGATCACAAAGTTGTTCACCTGGAAGATGAAATAAACAAAATACAATCCTGCATCATGTAACAAGGGAGATACAATCTGAGAAATACGTCATTAGGTGATTTCATTGTGTGAACATCACAGAATTTACTTACACAAACCTAGACACTATAGCCTACAACATACCCAGACTCTATTGTACAGCCTGTTGCTCCTAGGCTACAAACCTGTACATCATGTTACTATACTGAATGTTGTAGGCTTTTTTTTTTTTTTTTTTTGAGAGGCAGGGTCTCGCCCTGTCACCTAGGCTGGAGTGCAGTGGCACCATCACAGCTCACTGCAGCATTGACCTTATGGACTTAAATGATCCTCCCACCTCAGCCCCCTGAGTAGCTAGGTGCATGTCACCACATCTGGCTAGCATGTTTTTAATTTTTATTTATTTATTTATTTTGAGACGGTGTCTTGCCCTGTCACCCAGACTGGAGTGCAGTGGAGCAATCTTGGCTCACTGCAACCTTTGCCTCCGAGTTCAAGCAATTCTCCTGCCTCAGCCTTCCAAGTAGCTGGGATTACAGGCATGCACCACCATGCCTGGCTCATGTTTTGTATCTTTAAGAAAGACGGGGTTTTACCAAGTTGGCCAGGCTGGTCTTGAACTCCTGACCTCGTGATCCACTCACCTCGGCCTCCCAAAGTGGTAGGATTACAGGCTTGAGCCACCACACCTGGCCTAATTTTTTTTTGTAGCGATGGGGGTCTCACTATGTTGCCCAGGCCGGTCTCAAACTCCTAGGCTCATACGATCCTTCTGCCTCAGCCTCCCAAAGTGCTGGGACTATAGGCATGAACCACCATGCTCAGCCAGCTGTAGGCAATTCTAACGTTATGGTTTGGCCGGGTGCAGTGGCACACACCTGTAATCCCAGCACTTTGGGAGGCCAAGGCAGATGAATCAGAAGGTCAAGGGATCCAGACCATCCTGACCAACATGATGAAACTCTGTCTCTACTAAAAATAGAAAAATTAGCTGGGCATGGTGGTGGGCGCCTGTAGTCCCAGCTACTTGGGAGGCTGAGGCAGGGGAATCACTTGAACCCGGGAGGCGGAGGTTGCAGTGAGCCAAGATCCTGCCACTGCACTCCAGCCTGGGCGACAGAGTGAGACTCTGTCTCAAAAAATAGTAATAATAGTTCAGCTGATGTATCTAAACATAGAAAAGGTACAGTAAAAATATGGTATAATCTTTATGCCATATTTTTATAGCACATGACTCTATAGCTGTCTGCTGGCCACTCAGCACATACTTGGGTACAGAGCCCTGTGTTAGGAAAATCACAGGAGGAAGAACAAAAGCCAACCTTCTTATCTTTGATAACACCCAGTAAAAAAACTCAGACCCCAAGAGGCTGATCCTAAAGTTCACAAGAAATTGCAAAGGATCTTAAATAGCCAAAAACTATCTTGAAAAGGAACAGTCCAGGTATGGTGGCTCACACCTATTATCCCAGCACTTTGGGAGGCCAAGGCAGGTGGACCACTTGAGGTCAGGAGTTCGAGACCAGTCTGGCCAACATGGTGAAACCCCGTCTCTACTAAAAATATAAAAATTAGCCGGGCATAGTGGTGCATACCTATAATTCCAGTTACTGGAGGCTGAGGCACGATAATCGCTTGAGCCTAGGAGGCAGAAGTTGCAGTGAGCCTGAGATCATGCCACTCAACTCTAGCCTGGGTGACAGAGCCAGACTTCATCTCAAAAATAAATAAATAACAAAAGCTAAAATTGGGCCAGGCGTGGTGGCTCACGCCTATAATCCCAGCACTTTGGGAGGCCGAGGCAGGCGGATCACAAGGTCAGGAGTTCGAGACCAGTCTGACTAACATAG